ATCCATAGACATTTTCTTTTGAAAGATTGCAACGTTCCTTAGAATAATAACAAAATAAACTTCAATTTTCCTACACGTTTGGGATTCAGAAGGGATTAGAATTCTATTAGGAGATGACAAAAAATAATCTTATGAGGAATGACAATGAAGTTGGAAAAATGCATTTCAAATACCATGAATGTTGATGGAACTTGGAAGACATTGTTCCAATTCCACTTAGTTCCGATGAGCTCAATTTATGTAATTTTAGATGAAATTTTCGCCATCTTCTTGGCAAAGTAGGTGTAGATTTCAAAATGAATTCCAAAAATATTCTTACATTTTGACTTGTATTGGAAGCATTTATATTACAAGGGAGAAATAAATAGAAACCATGAGCATTGAATATCTCTGGAGGCTGGAACCATCTATGGTGAAAAACAGGAATATTTTGGAATGGATCTATCCCAAGATTTTGAGATAATTATGTGAAAGTGACTTTTATGTTATTTAAGGAGTATTTAACTTATCTGGGAACTACTAAGAGGCTTGTATTTTGGTTTTGGAATTCTACTTCTTATTTATATAGAAGTCTTATTCTGTTATTGTTTTCCTATTAAGTATTCTAGTCATAGTAGGCTATGAAGAGCATCCTGTATATAAACGAATTATTCATTATTATTTTACAAACTGCTTATGAAGAAAAATCATTAGTGTTCTCTTATGAATTGGGTGTTTAACAACTCTACGATTGTGCTTGTGACAATCTTGTTATTGTTATTGTTGTCAATATTAGTGATTGTGGGTTGCCTTATTTTTCTTTTTTTGTTTCACTTAAACCCTGTTCGGGTCTACTACATCAATAACTTTTTTTCTTTGAGATAAAAATCACTAACTAACATTTTGCACTTTCAATTATGTGGCAACTTGCAGTGGCTGCTGATGGACATGAACCTGTCCAGATGAAGCTACATAAGTCCTTGCGACTTTGGTCATTCTATGTGGATCTGGAGGAAAGCTTGGGTACTTTGGAGTCCACTAGGGCAGTATATGAGCGGATATTGGATTTAAGAATAGCCACACCCCAAATCATTATAAATTATGCATTTCTGCTGGAGGTATGAAAGTTTCTCCTGTAGTTATAACTAGTATACTTTATTAAAAGTTCACCTCTAATCAATTTTGTGGACTGACAACTAGTTACACTTCAACTTCTGCAGGAAAATAAGTACTTTGAAGATGCATTTAGTGTATATGAAAGAGGTGTCAAGATATTTAAGTATCCTCATGTGAAAGACATTTGGGTGACATATCTCTCAAAGTTTGTGAAGAGATATGGGAAGACAAAACTGGACCGGACAAGGGAGTTATTTGAGCAGGCTGTTGAAGCAGTATGGATCTTATTTTTCTTTAAGTTTTTGGTTTGGTTATCAGAATTAATAAATTTCGTAAGCATTCTTCAACTGACATAAGTTTTGGCCCATTAATTGTTTTTAGGTTACTTTTTGTATCTATTTGGCAACATATTTGCTAATGAGTGCATGCTAATCCAGTTTCATGCAAGTAACCTGGTTGTTTGTCTGATTTATGATTTATGATTTTTTTGGTGACGTACTGTGCATATGAATTTCTTGCTTAAGTTGAAGTTGAAAGCAGCCACTGGGATTCAAACGAAAAGTGTTGCTTGAGTTTCCCCCTTATACCCCCCTTTATTCATTAAACTCTAATAGCTGTTCCAGTTTGTAGCCTTTCATTATGGGTGATGTGCTAATCTTTTTTGTTTCTGGTTTTGTCATGGTTATTTTCTTTCTGTTTTTCTGTTTTTTTTCTTTTGGTTTCTTACATCTTATCGAAATGTATTGTAATGGCGAGGGTGCTACGGAAGGATGTAACAACTTGCAGCAGTTTAATTTGGCATGTAATTTCTTCAAGGCATTTAAGCTCTGAAAGAAAAAGAGGGAACTTGCACAACCAATTAAAATCTGAACAAAATGCAATTTGGACTCATGTTCTTTTGAAGTTTCTTATGTATACGGTTGCCAAACTTGTTTGATTGTTCAATAAAATTTTAGAGAATATCTCTCTGAAATGTTGAATTTTGGGAGAGATTTTCAGTTGATCTAACCAGTTTATTATTGAGCTTTTGAATTATCCCAAAAACAAATAAATGAATTATTGAACTCTGTAAGTGAGCCTACATAGTAAATATAGAAATTTGGGAACATTTTGACTTTTGCGATGAATATGTATGAATGACTTACAAAAAGTAGGAGAATTCTCACAGGAGGGATTATCCTAACAAACTACTGCTGTTGAATATTGTTAAAAGACGGGTTAACTGACTGTCCATTGTTTTAAACAGATCATGATTTTAGCGTTTTCTTCTATCTTGAGTTGGATGATGCTACAAAGTCTTTTTCTGATCATTCATGTGCAATGATGCTGACATTCTCATGTTCTTTTGTTATGCTTATCAGGCCCCTGCTGATGCCGTGAAACCCTTATATCTGCAATATGCTAAACTGGAAGAGGATTTTGGTTTGGCGAAGCGAGCCATGAAGATCTATGAACAAGCAACCAAGGCAGTTCCAAATGATGAGAAGCTTGAGATGTATGAAATTTATATTGCTCGTGCAGCAGAAATATTCGGTGTCCCAAGAACAAGAGATATCTATGAGCGAGCAATAGAGTCTGGACTGCCGCACAAGGATGTGAAGACTATGTGTCTGAAATATGCAGAGTTGGAGAAAAGTTTAGGAGAGATTGATCGCGCTCGTGGAATATACCTATATGCATCACAATATGCGGATCCACGATCTGATCCTGATTTCTGGAATAAGTGGCATGAATTTGAGGTGCAACATGGAAATGAAGATACCTTTAGAGACATGCTGCGTGTTAAAAGAAGTGTTTCTGCAAGCTATAGTCAGGTATCATCTAATTCTTTCTTTATTTTCTCTTTAGCTTTATTTAACTACGAAGGAATCAATATCTGCAAAATGACTTAAAAAACCTACCACGAATATTTAATATGAGGTAAGGAATGCATGTCAATGGGTTGTGCCTAAGTGGGAGAGCGAAAACAAGGTTTGCTACTGTTATTGCAAAGTGGAATTAGGTAGCATTTGGTGAAATGAAAGAACTGAACACAACAGAAATAAGCAGGACAATATAGAACATAATAAGTTAATTTGATGTGTTTGGTATTTATTAGACTGGCTTGTATAAATTGTCGTGTTTTATGTTTGGTATGTACTGAACACTAGAAACTACAATTTATGATTCTAAATTGCCGTTTGAACCATTGGCATTTTTAGTTTTAATTTTTTCGTGAAACTTAATATAACAGTATTGCATATGTCAATATATTAAGTTACTATTATTTCTTTTAATTATAAAAGTGATAATTATAACTAGTTTTTAGTTTAGTTATATATTTAAATTACTTCCAGATGATTATAATAATATACTAAATCTAATTTTCATATAGTTAACATTGATACTTGCAAAAAATGTGACATAAAAAAAGAAAATGAAATGAAGAGATTTTTTTATGTAAAAATAAATGTACTTGAGGTAGGCTTGTTCGTCTAGCATTCTCTTGTATTATTCTTTATTTAGGATTCCGAACAGGTGGCTGAGAAAATTGAGAGGATCATGAGAAATCTTTTATGATCTGGGACAAGTGGGGTCTTGATAATTATTTTAACTAATATTTAGTTAGTTAATTATTTTCGACAAAACATCAAACTAATTATATAAATAAATAATTTATTTGCTGAAAGTTACAATAGTATGCTAAATGTAATTTTCATATAATTAACACTGAGACTTGTAAAAAATGTGAGGTAAAAAACAAAATGGAATTGAAGAAACTTGTATTCCTTGTTCAGGATTCGTAGCAGGTGTCTTAGAAAATTGGGAGGATAAAGAAAAATCTTTTCTGGTCTCAGACAAGTGGGGTCTTGATATGTCATTTGATTAGATGAGATATATATTGCTTTTCCCAAAAAGACGGTGGTGTTGATGTTGGAAATCTAATGTCCAAAAACCTGCCTTTCATTCTCCTTTGGAATCTTGTTTTCTGTTGCACAAGATGATCGAGAGTGAGTAGAGGTTACAAAACAATGGCTGGGAGGAATGTAAATCTGTAAGTACCATGACTAACAGGAGCCCCTGAAATTTCTTTCTCTGCTCGGCATGGGTCATCAACATTCTTCCTTTTTCTTTTAGGAAAAAAACCTTTTGGCTGGTACTTAATTAAACAGCTAAAAAAAACTCAGAAACTGTTGAATCGAGTGACTAATATTGAACACATGGATGCTTACAGTATCTCTTCCACGCAGGGTGTGTTTAGCACGTTGAATCGAGAAAGAAAGATCTTAGCATATCAGTTACGATGTGTTTCCAAAAAGTTTCCATTGAGATCTTGGTCTCATGTTAACCGTCATATTTTGATATTAGGGTGATCTTCCTTGTTTGTCTTGCTAACTCTTATTGTTTCTGTTGTTCCAGACGCACTTTATTCTACCAGAGTATTTGATGCAGAAGGATCAGAGAATGAACATAGATGACGCCAAAGAGAAACTGAAATTGGCTGGTGTTCCTGAAGACGAAATGGCTGCTCTGGAGAAGCAGTTAGTTCCTTCATCCAATAATAATGCTACTGCTAAAGATGGCACCAGAAAGGTGGGTTTTGTAAGTGCTGGAGTTGAATCAGAGACTGATGGAGGAGTAAATGCCACCGCAAATCACGAAGAAATTGAGTTGCCCGAAGAAAGTGATTCAGAAGAGGATGATAAAGTCGAAATTGCAGAGAAAGATGTTCCTGCTGCGGTTTATGGAGGTCTTGCCCGGAAGAGAGAAGATGAAGAAGATGCAGCTGGAGCTACCAAGGGTCTTGGAGCCCTAGAGAGAATTAAAAGGCTGAAACGAGGGGCTTGATAAAAGTTTTAGTTAGAGAGTTGATTGACTGAAAGATAAAACAATTTTGACATAATTAGAGAATTTATTGTAACTAACCGGCAGAGGATCTTAAAGCATCTTCTGGTTAAGAATTTGTTGTAATGGTAGGCATGTATATTTTAATGAAGTCTGTACAGCTCGTGTTCTTTCGATCACTGCAATTTCCGATATTCACTGGGTTGAAGACTCAGATTTCTCAGCAAATTCAAGTGTTATTTAGTTCTTATTTACTGTTAGCATCTCAAGGTAAGAACAAAAAACCAGAGTACTAGCAACGAGGGACCAGATTGGTTTTGTATTTTGTCGATGGTTAAATCTGCAGTGGATGCAAAAAAGGAAGAGGACTGAAATGCATATTTTGGAAAATTATGTGAGGTTTGTAATCAAATAATTTATGTATTCTAAAAAAAATGTAAAACATTAATATTGTAATATGTGAAAATTTTTGGTCTTATATATATATATATATATATATATACACATAATGAGTAATGTGTATAGAGGAAGATTTAATTTGACAGAATTGAAATTTGAATAAAAATTTATTAAATTAAATTCACTAATTGTGACCATAAAATATTATCATTTTTGTGTTTAATAATATAATATATTATCTTATTGTAAGTCAGGCAGGGGGAATGAGAATACGCACGAACGGTAGTGAAGAAATTCGTGAAAGTAATTAATTATTAATGGAAAAATAAGAGAGACAGAAAATAGAAGAAACGAGAAAAAAGAAGATTTAATTTCTTCTCTCCTCATTATTACTCCCTCCACGTCCGCACAAAACCACCTTTTTTTTCTTCTTCTTTTTAATTAAATAAATAAATTCGAAATTTATGTAGAAATTATTTAGAGATTATATCCTCAGTTTTAAAAAATAAATATTTATCTTTTATAAAATTTAGAAAAATAATTTTTAAATTCTATTTAATTTGATGAAATTTTTTGTATAGCTCAATTTATTTTCTAAAAATACATAATCATTTCACGTATAATTTAATATAAATTTAATTTTTACTAATAGTACAATAGTCTAATAGTTAATCTCTCGTATTTTACTTAAAATCATGATTTAACTATTACTAAAAATGTAGAGTTCTTCATTTTATCTATGTATTATGAATTTACGGTAATCAGTTTATACTAAACTTACTAATTTGTTTATAGGTGAAAAAAATATTTTAAAACGATTGAGTTTTTTTAGTTGGATAGAATTAAAAATTTTACCTATTTTCACAAAAAAGTATAAATTTAATTTTTATATTCCAACATCCAAAGAAAAATCTGATTTTATAAATAAATTCCATATAGATATAAAATTTTTCTTAAAAATATTATAAATTTATCATTGATTTACGTATAAAATAAGTATAAATAACTTCAAGAAAATTACAACAAAATATAACCCTACTTAATTTCACTCTAGTCAATAATTGAAAAACTTCATTTTCTCGATGTTAATTTGTGTAGAATTTTAAGTCAAGAACTATAGTCCTAGTTGAATCGAAGAGAGTCGAATTCACATCCGTGTTATAGAATTACTTAGCTTAGATACCATATGATTAGGTATCATATGAGGAGACTCGACAAAAATCTTTTATACCTTTATCAATTTCTCGATAAAGAAAAATATGACCAATAGTGATTCAAATGTATACAAAATTTTTTTTTTTTTTACTTCTTACTAACAAATAATGATTTATAAATTTTATGATAAGTAATTAAATATTCATAGTGAACTTCGATGAGACCTTATGTTGAAGCAATAACATATTATCGTTGAAGTTATAAAATATTATCTAAATTAATTATTTTATGTCAATAAAAACTCTAATTGCATCATAAAAATTAAAAAAAGAAAAAATTATTGGTATATTCGTAATTATTATTATCTTCAATTCTTTTATCTCGACAAATCTCACTTGTTATATATTATATTATGTAAAAATCTTACATATTTTTAGCTTTTTAATTGATGAATTTGTATAAAATGAAAGGTAAAACATGATGGCGGCATAAGATGGCATTTGAGAAAATTCCCATGAGGAAAGACGATTTCAAAAAGCTTCATATGGGATTAAATTTATTTTGATTATTTTAGAAAAATCACTCATAATTAGAATAAGTATGAATTTCCAAATGGGTTTCACAAACCAAATTTATTTGTCCCAAGATTGTCCATAAATCTTCTTTTTTTTCAAAATAATAATAATAATAATAATAATAATAATAAGCATCTACAACAAAGTTCATCAACCCCACCCCAACATTATATTAGTCAATTAGAGGTCCCTTTTAAGATCACACACAGAAAACTTCAAATCAATCAAATAAACCATGTGATGATTGGTAATTTACTTTCTCTGGGTTTCAATTAGATTGGATATTTCTGTATAAAAATACAATGTTAAGTATACATATATATCATGAACTAATGAAATGATAAAAACACAAAGTAAATATAACACCAATCACTCATTCAAACATGAATAAAAGAACATTTCTATTCTTTACATAAGTTTTCTATGATCCCATCATACATCTCACGTACTGAAAACCATCTGTATGTATATATATATATCATCAAAGCTATTCCTAATTTAAATCAACCCAAGATAACTTCAAAATGTCTTTTCAACCACCAAGAACACAACCCATTTTCTAATTTCTTTTTTTTTTTTTTTTCAAAAATTTCCTTTTCTTTGAACACGATAGTTTTCTATTCTTCAAAAAAGAAAAAGTTTTCAAAAAAATTACCTATACCCCACGGCTAATCATCTCATTGTACTGATTCAATGATTCTTGTCTCTGCAACCTCATCTCCTCGTTGAACTTCTTTATAAACGCCTCTACTCGCCGGTTCAACTCGTCCTGACTCAGTGACGGCTCTTTCCTCAGCTTCACCGGCGAAGGCGTCATCGGTTCCGGCGACTGGAAGTTAGTTCGATCTTTGAACGTCTCAGATTTCTTCACCTGATGCAGATTCGCTTCCCCCACGTTCAAATGACGGCCGTGATTCTCCCATGTGTCCGATTTCTTCAGGTGCCTTGTCAATGGCATGGCCCTCCCCTCCGTTATCGCCTTCCATGTGTTCTCCAGCGTTTCGTTCCGTTTCGGCTTCGCCACTCTCAGTACTGCTCTTCCTCCTGCAAATTTTAACCCCAATTAAATTACTTTTTTACCCTCTCTTCCCTAAACAGATTTTTTTTTTTAACTTCTTCACTTTTTACCAGACAAAAGGGTGTTTTGGACTTTTCAGCTCCTAAGCGTTACATATACGCCAATTTCGAAACTGCTCTAACATTGGAAAGCGCGATAATTTAAACGGCAGCGTTTTTGTATTGTACTTCTTCTTTTTGAAATTCAGAAAACGTTAAAAATGAGAACGGCGCCGGAGAAGCAGGCTCCTCGCCGACCAAAAAGTTTTTGAAAATTCAAACTGAGAATCTGGTAGGTAAAAATAAAATCCAGCCGTTGAATTCAAAAATAAACTACCTTCAGGACTGGCTTTAACCGGTTTCCGGTGACTGAATCTCGAAGAAGCCGGAGGTTTATCCGGCGACGAAGAATACTCCGATTGATTATCCGAGAAATGCATCCTTCTCGGCGGGGTCCATGTGGATCTCGAAATCACAAACTCATCTCCGCTGTCTCCAACAGAGCCATCCGCCACCACAATCTTCTCTTCTTCCGTCTCCGCCTCCGCACGCAGAGTACTCTCCATCTCAGAAACCTTAGCCTCCGCTTGCTTCTCCTCATACACAACCGTCGTCGGCTCCACGAAGCCGAATACCGACCGCTCCTTGGACTCGAAACCGAACGTCAGATTCGAATTCACGGAGACCATCGTCGTCGTCGGATGATCAGCCCGTTGGATCTGGCTCGGCTGATCGATACGATCTTCTTCCTCGTGACTGCTACGGTGGAACCTGGAGGATGCAGCGATTGAGATGATGATACCGTTGATGACGACGTAAAGATAAGGAGGCTTCAACCAGGAAAGCAAGGAGCTCCATATTCCAGGAGCTCGTGAAACAGAGAAATCCAAGAATAATGGAAAAGAGACCTTGAGGAACAGAGCTAAGATGAGCACACCGGTGGAGATAACCAGAGCCTTGAAGGACAGAATCCAGGTGGTTGAAGACACCATGGTTTTTTTGTTTAAGGTAATTAATACTGAACAAATGGTGATTATCACTAAATTAACGAGCTTAATCAGGGTGATTAAGCAATTGGCTTCGGAGAGAGAGAATGGGAGAAGGTGGTGAGACGAGTGGATAGAGAGTGGGAATGAGTGAGGTGAAGAGTTATATAGGCATGGATTGTAGGGACGCTGTTTGAGACTGAATATTCACCGTTGGATGGGAGGTTCAGTTTACTGGACGGTGGATATTGGAAGTAGGTAGCGTAATCGCGTGGTGTTTGACCCTGTGTGGTGGCCCACATGTAAAAATACCAAATAAATAAAATAGATTAATTAGAGAAAAAGTGCCGGTAAAGATAATAATAAAATTTACAGCTTTTACTCATTTACCATAATAATAAAATAAAATGCCAAATGGCAATAGCTTATGAACTTATATTTCACTATTATAGTCTGCGTATAATTTTTAATTTAATTTATTAATATATTTATAAGAACTTAATAAAGAAGTTAAATTTTGTCCCAAAAAAATAAAACATAAATAAATTAATATTATAAATACACCATATACAAATATGTCTTCTACCCACAAAAACCCAAAATAAAGAGTTTAAAATAGTTAAAGCTGCAAACTTTACGGGGAAGAGAAAAGATGGGTTTTATTTTAGGAAAGAAAGAGCAGTTTTTGGCAGGAATTATATGTATATATATATATACATACACACACAATAGTGTGAGAGACATTTTGAAATATTTTAAAGAAGAACCCAACGGTCATATTATTGACCGTTAGTCGCGCAAGCTGTGCTAAGATGCTGAGGCGCTGAACCAACGGGTGCGGGGAGGGGTCGCCCATGGCACGTGACCACCAACTTGGCTTTGGTTGTGGTGGGTTCACCTCCGACCGACAATGTTTAATTTGTGTTACAGGGTGCTTGAGTAGAGGTTATTTTATTAATTTAATTAAACCAGTCAGTGGTTTCATTCTAGAGTTTCTTTTTGTGAAATCATTAATTTATGCATTACCACTCTTATTCTTTAATTCCTTTTGGTATCTTTTTTTTTAGATACAAGGGAAAGAGACAAACACAGTAAGTCAGAACAAAATATATGTATAGGTATTACATATCTTAGGCTACAAAATTTCGATAATGTCCTTTTTAATGATGCGGTAATGAAAGATCTAATTTGCCAAATAATTATCATACTGATTCATTTCACGATAAATATATTATACCTTGATAGTTTAATTTTTTATAAGTCAACCGTTAATATCTAAAATAAGGTTATAATTAACATTAACAGGAATCACTTCATTGTTCAGAACTTTATTCGAGACCTGAACGGTGAGATCATTATCAATCTCCAGGATAACATGACGTGAGCCAAGGTTTCATGCTAACGCGAGGCCATCCAAGGCCCCTCACAGTTCAGCTTGAA